GTCTTCAAATTTTCCTTTTCTTTCCTTTCAAGACAAGTTATTTATTTCTTTATTCATATTGTAAGTAACATGAAATTATCATCTTATCCATTCGGGTACAAGAAACCACAATTTTTGTAAGAATTCTTATTTTACAGTTCAAACTGTATTAGATTATAAAATTAAAATTCTTAAATTGGAGCGAGAGGGTTCAATATCAAGTAATCCTTTTTAATTTAAAAGTTATTATTTTGTAATTTGATACTATCTAAAGTGTAAAACAATTTTTGTTTTTATAATTAAAGTAGAGAAAAAATCTACTCCTACACAAATCTTATACATTACATTTATATAAAATTTTTATTATTTATTTTTTCATTTTCAATAATTAAAATTTATCACGACTTTTTAAACGAAAACAATAATTATTTTTAATAAAAATAAATAAAAAATGAAATTGAGAAATAAATTATTAAAATTTTATATAATTATAATATGTAAGTGAATCCTTATTCATTTATATATATATATAAATCAAAACACCTTACTAATTAAAATGTTAAAACTTCTTACAAAATTATTTAAATACCCTTAATGAATCAACATACAATGAATGCTTTACTAAGTATATTTAAATAATTTTATAAAAAATCCCACCATTTTAAATGCAAGAGCATGTTGCTTTTTACTTTTCTCATATATATATATATATATATATATATATAGAAAACTCTATTGATCTGGACGCTTCAAAAGAATTAATTACCTAACTTTAAATTTTATCATTTTATATAATTAAAATTTAATTTAAAATTTAAAAATCAACCTTATATTGATATTTAAATTTAAAAACTAATTATATATTTTAATATAATTAATTTCCCAAATGATATATCAACATTTAATAAAATAAAATTTTAAATTTTAAATTGAGTTTTCAATTTTTATATATAAGAATCAACATTTATAAGGTGATTTTTAAATTTGAAATTAGATTTTAATAAAATAAAATAAAATCATTTATGATTGAGATTTTAAGGTTTTTTTTTTGGAGTCAAGAATGATATGCTATATACACAAACACACACACACATGAGGATAGTGTGAACTAGGCCATTCTCTTAAAAAAAATTTTAAGGACTTGTTTTAAAAACTTACATTCTAATTAATATTTTCAAAAAATAATAGTTGAATTAAAAATTTTATTAATATAAATAAAGCATATCAATTTTCATATTAATATAATACTTTAACTTTTTTATTAAAAAAACTCTATATATTGACATCTATTGAACAATGTTAAACTTCCTATAATCAACAAAATAGTTAGGCTTATTAGAATCATTTGAAAATTGGTATATATAATTTATATGAACAAAATTTTTAATCCAATAATTGATTTTTAAAAATATTAATTAGAAGATAAATTTTTAAACATGTCCTTTAACAAAATTTAAAAAAATAACCTATAAAACACTTTTTCATATATATATATATATGAAGAGGGCACCACTTATAAGATTTATACACCATACTTATACAAAATCTCAACCATTCATTTCTTTAATTTTCATAGTTGAGATTTATCACAATTTTTAAGATAAAAAATAATTAGTTTTAATAAATGTAAATAAATCTTAATTATTAAAAGTAAAAAAATAAATAATTAAAATTTTGTGTAAGTGTGATGTATAAATAAATCACTACTATATATATAATTTGTATATAAGTGAATTACTACTTCATATATACATATAAAATATGTTATGATCTCAAAACTGTGAGAAAATTACTTACAAGTAGTGCTCCGATTAACTGGCAAAGTCATCAAGAGGGCAAAAGCTTATAGCTTTCCACGGTAAGCCTTGAGTTTCTTGAGCTGGCTATGGTTCCCAAACTTTCGTGAAGCCGCAGCATCAGATAATGTATCCTAAACCTGCATTAACTGAGTGATAATAGTTTAGTCTTGCTACAATAATAGTTACCAGTGTTACTGAAGGCACCGGGCGCCGGGCGGCATGAGGCGCCAAGCCTTCACCTAATGCCCAGACAGCCCAAGGAATTTGTAAACAAGAAATCCAAAAAATTAAGGAAAGTTCAGAAAAATTGGAAAAAAAAAAAAGACATAAAAAAATTACCCAATTGCCAAAAATAGGAAGGCTATCAATAACAGAAGATTAGAAGAATAACTAAGCAATGCGCTAGAGCATAACTTAGTAGAGCCTAACGTAACTCCTGACGGGAGAGAAGAATTAGAAAATCAAGGGCTCAGTTCAGCATTCTCTCCTCTGTTTTTCAGTTCAGTTTCCTTCCTCTTCTCCTATTTTCCTTTTTAATATAAACAAAAACGAAAGAAAAACAAAATAAAATTAAACATCAAAGATACCTGAAAACAAATGCATTGAAGTAATTAGGAAGGGCTGAAGCCGAAGGAAAGTCAGATGGGAGTCAGGAAGTGAAGGGGAGACTGGGAGAGGTGTAGAGAGGGACATTGAAGCAGACGAGAGTGCGTCGAAGTAATAGGGTTTCTGGTTTTTAGCTTCTTTTTTTTTTTTTTTAATAATAAAATGACATCGTTTCATTTTAGGCTAAAAAAAGAAAATTTTGATTGGGACCGCGTTGATGAAGTAGGGTCCGCCTAATTCATCAACGTACCCCCCACACCGCCTTCAGCCACCTAAGCACACAAGGTGCGTCACTCCTTTAATGGGCAGGAATCCTCCTCCGTGCACGCACCAAGCAGCCAGAGGACAACACCACACCTCTTGCAACCCTGAGATTCATTATTTAAAAGTTGTATAATATAGCACAACATAATATAGCAAAATTACTTGTAGTTTTCCCTTTGAGCCCCCAATGGCTAGGACTGGGCAAATGGTCAGTTAGCCAAGTAAGTACTGAAAGCTGATAAAAAATTAACTAAACGATTTGATACAAATGGTTGTTATTTTTTTCTTTTCAATTTTAGTTGGATAATAAAAAAAATTTGGTCTTAGAGAGTTTAAAAACTAAAATCGAATGTATAACCAGCAAGTAAAATTTTATATTAATAAATAAATAATAGTTATTTGAATATTATAAAAACCATCTTACTTAATCTCATTTTCAAATTTTATCTTATAAATTTTGTTATAATTTAGTATTTAAATTTAAAATATATCTAAATAAATAAATAAATAAAAATAAAATTCTCAATTTTGTTATATTTTAATATCTAAATTAAAACGTATCTAAAAATAAAAAAATAAAATAAAATTCAAAATTCATATCTTACTCTCATTTACCCATCTTTTTTGCACTTTGTTATATTTATATTTTTTTAAAATTCTAAATTTTAACTAAGTATATACATTGTTTAACTTGAAATAAGCATTCAATATTAATGTGATTATAATTGATAACTAAAATATTAAAATTGATTATTCGGGTCACCGAACAAAATATTCATAAATATTATTGGTTTAATTTTGGTTACTAAAAGTAAAAATAAAAAAATTTAAATATTGATTTCAATTAAACCAAAACCAAACCATGCCCGCCCTACCAATGGCTAGTCAAAAGGGACTGTCCCCTGAGAAGGAAATAGAATAGACAGCTCCCTGACAACGTTCAGATCAGAGGGTGAGAATTCACCTAATACCATACTAGATAAACTAAATGCTTAGGGTGTGGTTATAGACATATAATTTTATTAAGGTTACACAGATTTTGTTTAGTTTAATATTTTATAATTTGTATTTTTTTAAAATAATTAATTATAATATTTAAAAATATCAATTTACAAGTTAATTTTAATTTATTAAATAATAAATATCAATCATTTTATCAATTATCAATTATTTTCAACAATTAAATTAAACAAAACCTGCATTTTTAAAATCAATATTACGTGGTCTTAACATTATAGGGTGTGGCTATGATGATTGGGTTCTAAAATGCTTCGGCTAATTACTTACTGCTTTAGGATTCTGGGATGCGACACATGAAGGTTGGTTGTTTGACAAATCCCGAAGCTTTACCTGCATTAAATCAAAACCATCCAAATTAATGCCCATACATTATTAAGAGCTTGGCCAAGCATTGGGAGAGAAGCAGAAGATAGTTTAATTTTTACCATTTTATCTGTTGATTCAGTTACAAGAAGCTGTGAATAATCAAGGACAATATTACAATACAATGATAAATAGTCTGGCCAAGGAATAAGAGATGGTTTTACATTGGGTGCTGCAGGACCATACGAGACAGTGCAAACAGCTTTGTCATGTGCATGGAGAGTAAAACTCAGTTGTGACTCGGAACATTTATCAGACTTGGCAGCTCGGATATCAAAACCTCTGACCGAACCATCTTCAAAACTCACCGAATCAAAACTAGGAATATTTAATCCTAGTATTATAGGCAATCTTCTTTTATTTCTCTTTAATAATGAAGAAACTCGAGTCTTGAATATTTGTATTGGTGAAAAAAGAGTCTTGAATATTTGAACTAAGAAAATAACCCAAGCTACAAGGTTAAAAGCACACACCACAAATGAGTGCTCAGTATGCGGATCCCATGCCAAGATTTCAAGATCAACCATGACTGACCACCTAAAACCAGAATGAGAAGGTACCCTTCTGCCCTTCTACAGATATACAACCATGGAAAAAGAGAAGAATTTTCAAAATTTCAAAAAGTAATTAACCAGAAGAAAAAAATCTGCTTGGTAGAAAGCACGTGCATGTTACAGCATGTTCCAGCAAATAAACAATTTAATTACCATGATAATGTAGTGATCAAACGAACCACTAAGAAGAACTTGTGGCAGATGATGGTTCAAGGCAGCTGCCTGCACCTGTGAAGACAAGGACGGAGTAAGTTTAGACTCACTGCAAAAAGAAGCATAAAATTGAACTATAATTAATCATATTGTTCATTTGCACAGTTCATATTTCTGCAGCATATTCTTGGGGTAGGTGCGTTTATAACCAGGGTCAATACTCAAAAGGAACTAATATTTATTACATGAGCCTCTTATAGGAATAAATGTCATTTTAAGTTACAAACTAAATAGTAGAACAATGTTCTTAACTGGTTGCATCGAGAAACAGAGCACCATTTGCAAGTTTAAAAGTTTATTATGCCAAAAATGGTATAAGGCTATTGGGGCCTCAGGACAAGCATGAAACCCAGGCAGGTGATCCTCAAGATGGCTTTATCACCTCAATGCTTGTTCCTCTCATTTAGTTTATTCTACTATTGGAAAGTAAACCAAAACTTTAGCAGAATATAAGCCCATATCAGCAGAATCCTGGTGACACTATCAAGAATACACAGCTTCTGAAGTGGATAGGCTCTAATTATAGATGACATCCATCCAATAGATTTAGGGTCTGTTTAGTATCATTGTCAAAAAATTCAGAAACCAAAACTTAACAACAAATCCAAAATGGCAATTTTCATAAATTGCAAAAATCAGTTGTAGATTTTTCAATTTTCAGAAACCAGCAGCCCAACTAAGAGTTTCTATAAATGGTTTTCAATTTTTTTAAAACAGAAACCAATAACCAGAAACCAAAACCCTGCTAAACAGACTATTAATTCTCCTAGAATTTTCAGTTAATAGTAGTCAATCCAATATGGCAATACAAACTACAAAGTATTGGAGATCAGACTTCAATCAATGAGAAAGTACAGATAAACTACTAAAGGAGTTTGTTTAAATGCATCATTCAAATTTGAGGAAATGACAATTTATAAAGTGTTTAAGTGTGAGAAAGGCAAAATTCTTGCCTTGTCCTGATGATGTTCCATAGTAATGTCACATTTTCCAGCAGCCACATCCCATATTTCAACTTGTTTGTCAGCACTTGCACTAGCCAGGATATTCCTATATTTAAAAAGGTGGTAAAAGAAATAAAGTATAAAATCACTTAACCCTGTCCAAAGCAAGAATAGTTAAAACCAGACACCAGAAATATTAAACAAACCTGTACTCCTTGTTCCAAGCAAGACCAAGAACCGCTCCAGTATAACTGCCTTGTATTTTAATTTCTAAAGGCAAAGCAAAAGGAAAGATAAGAAATAAGAAACACTAGAAATTATAGTTACAATTTTCTCAACTTCCAATCCACATCATAAGCTTTCAATTAAGACATAGTCAAAGCGCAATACGCACAAAATCTTGACAGATTATATGTCAGCTAATTACTGCAAATAGGGAATGGAAGGCACAGCAACTGAATGTCAAATGCATATGATGAAACTCAAGGAAGAAAAAGTAAAAGTACATCAACTGATAACTACAGGGCCCAAATGCTTAACTAGAGGAACCTAACAGCTCTACCATTCCCCCCTACAATCACTCACTGCCTAGTACCCAAAGCTCTAGCCTGTTTCTACCTCTGGGCGTTAAATTTCCAGTGGAGATTCCACCAAGGCATGTGCATAAAAAATCTGAAAATGCATTCCAATAACAATTAAGAGACATGTTTCAACATATAAAAAGATATGGCTCTACAGAACACCTATCTGGGACATTGCATGCCAACTTTTTCCAGAAATCTAAAGCCAGAATGACCAGTGTCAAAATCTAGACTCTGCAAAAGTGCTGATGATATTCATACTGATTAGGACAAGCTATGAAAATTAATTGGTGCAAAAATCATCTTATAACTTTCAGGTGAAGGACAGCAAATCACATTAACAACATATTATCTGATTCACCAAAACAGTGGTTGGTACTTGGTACTTGGTTGGCAAGCAGAAGAACCCCCCTACTTTCTTTATTTCATTCCATGCTTTTCCAAATTCCAAGAACAACCTTCTATACATAAACAAGCAAATAAATCAATTTTACTAAGATATTAAAAAACATAAGGTGTCATTTATAACCTTGTTAAGCATTTTTACATAAAAGTATAAGAATAGTTCAATTTGAAGGTTGAGGACAATAAATTTGACAATTCAGTATCAGACCTTCTTTCCTCTCCTGTTCTTCTCCTCAGCACCACCTAATACCAGACATGGTTGTACTTCATCGATCTGAAAAAAAAAAAAAGATGTTAAGGATATATCAATAACAACATCTGTACCAATAGATTTATAACTAAATAATAAAAAAAACAACAACCATAATCCACATACAATGTCAAGATCCCATATTTCAATGGAAGGTTCCATAGAGCCAACAGCTATAAAATTCCCTGCCAACCAAAAACCAAGTGACAAATAAGGAACCATTCAAATCGACACATCCTACTAGCAAAAAAATGAAAATCCTTTCCCTTTTCTCTATTTTCTGTACTTTCCATCTTTGAATTCCTTTTTCTTTTCTTTGATCCCTTGCCCAAAAGAAATCCTTCCTTTTTTGATTGGATCCATTTGTATCTTAAAATACACAATACCTTAAAACTTTCCCTTTCTTTTATATTCTATTGAAATTAGATAGAAATGAAATGTGGATAACCAGTTACAACAGTCAAAATTCAAGACAAAATGGGACTTTAACTATGGACTATAACTTTAAGCACTTCACCCTTTTTTTTTCCTTTTAGGACTTGAGAGACATGACAAACACCGACCTGCCCATGAGTACTTTAGCTAAATCCCTATAAAATTTGGGTGTCTAAATTCACTAGAGCAAACTTCATGAGGTGTCATTCAGTGCTTGTCCAAAGAGTAGAGGAAAGCATATACACAAACTAAACCTTCTACAGGAAATCACATGCAGATGCCTGACCTTTTTCTCTCCCTCTAAGTGGGCAATCAAGCCATGCCATTCAATGGGGACAAGCTGAGAGAATGATGTCATGATGCACATAAATATTTGAATCACCTTCATCCATTTCCTCATAGATATAAACCTGCTCAAACACAATGAGCACATTCATGAATACCTAATATGAGAGAAAGAAAGAGAGGGAGCTAACTTTAACGTACCTCAAGATGGGTGACATCATCTTCATTTCGTGCACAAACAATGACGGCATCCATTGATTTAATGGCCATGTCCTCAAGATCTTCTGAGTCATCATCCTAAACAAACTACATACCACCTTAAATAAGCCTACAGAAACCAGAACATAATAATATGAGAAAGTAAAGTGGTGATCCCTACATCATTATGATTTAGATATGGGTCCATCTCATTACTCAGGTAGTAGAGCTAAATAGCTCAATATCTGACATCAACAATGAGTAGCTGCAACATTAGATATATTTGAAACATGAAAACAATGCTACGCCTACATTTGGCAATTGTCCAAGCAATTGATTCGAAAATGATTCAACATAAGTTCTGTTTAACAGTTTGAAAGTCAATCTTATTCCTCAATTTGAAGGACATACTAATCACATCCCATACATCTAAACAAGATTTAGTAAATGGGTTTGTCCAACTTGTGCCCCAAGGGTGTATTTATTCCACTTTTTCTCCATTAATTGGAATGGAAAAATACAAAGGCTAACTTCATTTTGAACAACAATGACACGTGTGCAATTTTAATTGGGTGATTGATAAAATTGAAGCCAAGTTCTATTTTTTCCAAAACAATTAATGAGAAAAAAGTGCAATTAATGCCCCCCTTAACCTGTGCCCTAAATAGAAAAACACAGGTTAGAGTTAGAAAAACACTTATTATTATTAAATAGAGCAGAAAGAGGAAAAGAAAAAGACCTAAGCAGAGATACCATCATCCTCTTCATCATAATGCTCCATGTCAAGTTTCTTCAAGCCATCAGTAACTTCTTCCAATTGGATCCCTCACTTGTTCTTGGAAGTTTTCCCAATTGCTTCAGCTACAGCTTCTGCATAGGCAACTTGATCGATCTGCTTCTCATCCTCAACATTCATAGAGTCATCTACATCCTCACTGTATAAAAAATAAACAGTCAGAGGGTTAAATACAACCACTTTGAAGATAAATTAGAAAAAAGAAATGAAACTCTATTTGACAGAGCCATTTTTGTCAAAAATTCTCGGTGACGCACTTCACCCAATAAACTTGGGTTAACTGACAATATATTATGGGATAAAACCCATTATTTATTTAAGTTTTTAAAGAAGAATTTCTGTTAGGAATGCAGTTTTCCGAAAGCATCAACAACTTAAGTAACAAATATTATCAAATTCAAAACATATTTCTCGATTTACAAACTTGGTTCTCATAATAAGAAATGCATTTTTTGGATAATTGAGAGTCACATTCATTTATGAAGAAAGCAGAAAATAACCTGTATAAATGCAACAATAGGCTGCAAAAAATAAGCAGCGAATAACATGAAAATGGAGAACACCCAAATACTACAGCAGAGAGAGAAAAAGAAAAAGGGAAAGCTAATAGGGTGGTAAAGTAGCTAACCTATTGCTTATTCCTTCATCGCGAAGAAGAGAAACAAGGCTGGCTTTTTTGCAGCGTATTTTATTCGGCGCCAAATTTTTTTTTTTAAAAAAAGAGTAAAATAAAGAAACTGATTGAAAAGAGATGAAGGAAAGGAAAGAATCACTTTCTCTCTAAAGCACCAATTTTTATCAATTCTTCAATTTCTTCCTTGGAAGGCTGCTCAGCCACATCGAGCACAGACTTTGAAGCCCCTTCGGGGACCCATGATATTGCTGATATCATTCTTCAAGCTAGGGTTTTCTGTACAATACTGAATTCAACAAACCCACCATTAAATCATGAAATTCTGAGATGGGAAAATGAAAGGAAAGGCCAAAATCAATTACAACGTTTTTATGTATCCTAAGGTTAGCCGGAGTAACCAAGCTATCGAGCTTGAGTAAGTAAAGCTCGATCTTTGGTCAAGCTCGACTAGTGAACTCGTTTGCCGTGAATTGTGATTAAGCAAGGAAGGGTTCAATTAAAACTGAGAAAGAAATTAGCGACGTGAATAGGAAATAAAATACAGTACAAGAAGATGCAAAACACCAACACCAGGAAGACAAATCGATTAATTAAGTAAATGAATGATTACGTTACCAAGAGAATCTATATGAAGGTGGCGAGGCAGGGAAATCAGATGATGTCGGAAGATGGTGTAGTTCGGATAGCAGATTCCACCGGTGGCCGTGCTCGTCAGAACTCTGGATGCTAGGAGGGGCTGCAGATTTACGATTAATAAGATTGAAGAGAATTAGGACTTTCGAAGTTTGGAATTGGATGGCTCAGCGGCAGGGGTGAGCCACCGATCGAGATGAGTTATCTTCCTTACTAGTCTTGAAAATTTTGATAAATGCTTCCTAGATTTTATTTTATTTATTTTTATCTTATTTTTTTATTTTTTTATCTTAATGGTAAAGAAAGCAGTAATTCTCCTTGACCTTTTAATTTAATCCATCTTGACTTCTTATTTTTAAGTTTTAATAAAAGAAAGTCATCATTTTATTGTTAATTGCTTTTTAGATTTATTGAATACTCAAAAAGTTATTTATTATTGTGAATTTTTTTTATTAATAGATATTTCACCTTCATCTTTATATTCATTTTATTTCATGTTGTGACTTCTTACAATTAAGGGATAATTCCTCACTATTAAGGGTTCATTCTTAATCTTACTAAAAGCTATTTAGGAGTTCATTAAAATTCCATTCATTCTCTTATTTAGTTCTATTTAATAATTAATGTAATCTTCACATGTCTCTTAACTTATATATAAATCTATGAGTTTGCATAATTCGTACAAAGTAGATGAAATAAAAAATTCTCACTTTTATTTGTCATCTTACTACTCTACATTTTACTACACTACATCTTACTACTCTACCTCTTATTTTATAATATTTATGATAATTAATTCAAAAGGTATTTATTGAATAATTTATGAGTATATATATATAACTTAAAAAAGAAAATGTTTTGTGTGAGAGCACTAGTTATTATTATTGTGTGTCACATATTTGGTTTAAAATTTGTTATTCATACAAGTTACCTTTACTACCTATTTGATTTGTTTGATTTATAAATTTTACTTAATTTTTATTTTTATTTTTAAAAATTATTATTATTATATACATATTAAGTATAATAAATATAAGTAAATTTTAATTATATAAAATAACGTTAGGTAAACAAGTTAGTTAAATAAATTAAGTAAATAATTTTAAATTCTTATATCCATTACTTAATTTCATATTTATAAATATATTATTTTATATTTATTACTTATTTAAATTTTTTTAGTACATATCCACAAAGTTCATCCCTACTCGGCAGTTAGGGTTTTGGGATTTGGTTAAATGCTTTTTTTGGTTCCTCTATTATTGAAAAAGCTCTCTTTTGGTCCCTATATTGAAAAACTTCCTTTTTTGGTCCTTAATGTTTAAAATCCAACCTTTTTTTAATCCCTCCGTTAAATTTTTACTAATTTGTCACGTTAATTAACGGAATTACTTGATTATTTTTTATACAAATGATATTATAAATTACGTGGAAATTATGTGCATAAAATTTTAAAGCTACGTAAATATTTTATTTGAATATTTTGTACCACATATACAAATTAAAAATTTTACTTTTTTAATTCATAAATTAAATCAATTTAAACGAAATTAACTTTAATTTCTTCATGTTCTTCTTTCACCTCATTCTTATCCTCCTCATCCTCGGCATCCTCTTCGCCATCATCATCTTGGGTTCCTCGTGGAACCCAAATCTAGGTTACTCAAGGAATCCAATTTTTGGGTTCGCCATGGAACCCAACAACTAAGTTCCTTGAAGAACCCAGTTTTTAGGTTTGTTGAGGAACCTAATTTTTGGGTTTGCTGACTGGGTTCTGACACTCTTTTTTTTTCATTTTTTTATTTTGAATATATCTATCTTCCATAGAGGATCCGAATGAAAACAAAATTTCATGTTCGGTTTTGAATTAAAGATGTTAAGTTTCGGGTTCATTATGAAACCTACACTCTTTTTTTTCTTTTTTCTTTTTTTATTTTGAATGTATCTATCTTCCATAAAGGAGCCGAATGAAACCAAAGTTTCATGTTCGGTTTTGAATTAGAGATGTTAAGTTTCAAGTTCATTACGAAACCTAGATCGTGTTCGATATTTGCATTTGATATTTGGGTTTGAAAGTGCAGGTGATATGTTCTTGTTGTTATATTCATGTTACTATGAACTTCATAACTTGATTCATCCATTACCAATCGTAATTATATCTGGACTAACTCACATGTAAAGGATTGATTATGAATGGAAAAACAAGAATTTTGAAAAAAGGAAGATGATATCTAGAGAAGGAACTAAAAAAAGATGGAGAATTTTAGAATGTTCAATTAGGGTTTATTATTATTATTATTTTTTTTTTTTACACGGGAAGAGTGACATGGAGAGTTGTTATGATGTCCATGTAAGCGTCTTTACACAGTGGAACATTCATGTCAAATTTTCGTTAAGATAATGTGCCACGCGGGAAAAAATTAACACAGGGACAAAAATGGGGTTGGATTTTAAACATTAGGGACCAAAAAGGGGATTTTTTAATATAGGAACCAAAAGTGGGCTTTTTTTAGTAGTAGAGGGACCAAAAGGGTATATAACCTTAGGATTTTGAATTTGTGAGCATGACTCTCCCTCTCCCATTCCCATAAAGCAAAATGGGATTCATTGCTCATTTTTCATCTCTCTCAAAGGGGGTGTTTTTTTGTCATGAAGCTATGTATAGATTGTAAAGGAGAGAGAAATAACAATATTGAGTGGGCTCATGGTGGCAAAGGATCATGACAAGGCTGTGACCTAACACACAATATGTGGATGTTATTTTGATTGGATTCATGTCTTAGCACCTCCAAACCCTTTATTACTATAACAAGTTAGCAACAACCTCAAGGAGCAACTTGGCTAGTAGAGTGATGACGGAGTCTTTCGGAAGGGCAAAGTCACTTGTAGACCAGGAGGTGGTGCCCCCCCCCC